GCTCATAAAGCCTGATCAATTCTTTAGTGGAGAAAGAAACCAGGACTACTCAGCAGCCAAAAATGAATTCTAAAACTTCTAAGGTAGCCTATCTTGTAGCTCGTGAAATTCTCTGTCAGATGAGGTATTGCTTGAAACTTTTCGTTGAGTTCTTATTTTACAAATGGGACTTTAAGCTAGTAGAGTAGGTTAAATTAACGTTAATTAGTACTAATTAGTCAATAACCGGAAGAAAAGAACAAAAATTTTTACATATTTTCTCGTCATAAATATTTTCCACACATTTCTCTATCGATCTAGGCAATAACCAAGCTTTTGTGATGAATGGAGAATGGACAGGAATTCTTTTAATAATAACCCCGTGCTCAAAAATTTAACAACATTTTTTTAAGTAATTAATTTTTTTCTCAGCCAAATAATGTCAGTAAGCGGAAAAACTTCAGGACATATACTTCGAAGTATCCTCTACAAACTGGAAACGCTAGAGAAAAATCTAAATAGGGAGCCCCCCCTTTAAAGGCGAACTCGAACGCCAAACTTTGCTCGAACCCGAGCTTCGAACGTCGAACGTTCGGGTTCCTAATATCCTTAACGAAACCTCTCTTAAATGTTCACACTCTTATCGCTCCTTTAGTGATTTTTCAGGTCTACTATCGCTGGAGCCGAAGAAGAAACCAGGATAAATCACCTTCTATAGTCGAAGTTGTTGAGGCAGCTTAGCAGGTGCACATATCGCAGTCAAGAACATGTAAGGCTATAAGGCACTGGCCTTACATGCATATGTAAATAATTTCGAATTATTCTTGATTCATTGCATCGTTATCAAATACGCTTACATATCGTCGAAGCATCCACCGTTAGTTCGATAACAAATAGCTTCACCATCTGTCCTTCCAGCTCATTTCATTTGAAGTCTTATCGTCTCAATCAGAAATATTTGCTTGTGTATATATTTTCTAAGAAGAAGAATTTTGTTTCGTAAAAGAAGGAACACATTAGAATAAAAGAAAAAAAGTAGTACGTAGCGTATACACTAAAAATTTGAATTTGATACTTTTGACTGGTTAAATTCATCTCTCATTCAACACTATACAATGTGAACAGGTAGTTTTTAAGACAAAACACTACTTTGCTGCTTTTGTTTTCAGCACGATTTTGATGGCTCCATCTTCTTTTTCGTCGAACATTTTGTACGCATCGTCTCCCTGTTCTAGTGGCATGGTGTGAGTGATCACAAATGTTGGATCTATTTTGCCGTCTTCAACTATTTTCAACAAATCATGCCAATAACTTTGAGCGTGCAGTTGACCGCAACGTATTGTCAAGCCTTTTTCCATCAAGGCACCTTTAAGAATAAAGATTCAGTTAGTTACTGAACTGACATTCCTCTCAGATCGCTAGCATACCGATGGGAAATTGATTTGCCGTTGAATAATAATCCCCGACCACAGAAATCGTACCGCCTTTTCGGCATGCCATGATTGCCTATGAATGATGAAAGAGAATGTAAGAGAAAGGAAGAAGACGCACCGAAACACTCACTTCACGTAAAATTTCAGGTGTATCCGTTTCTAATTGTAGACCACGTTGTAGCTGATGGGCCACACCTACATGACAAGAAAGCTTACATCAGAACGATTCTTTAGAAGTTTACAGAAAGCGTAAAAAACAAACAAATGCATTTATATAAAAAATCATGATTTACCATCGAAATCTTATCAGCTAAAAGTGAAGCGCATCATTCAAGAAAAAGACTTTTTCTCTGAGAAATGATTCATCTCACAACAAATGTCCAGAGAGGAGAAAGCGCTTTTTTCAAACGACAGAAAGCAAAAACTAGGTTTTCTCTCTATTTTAAGGAAAAACTGTTCGACGATTTACTGGGTTATATTACGCATGAGCGATGCTAATATTTTCTTTACAATTCTAGAATCTTGTTGAAAAGAACTTCCTAAAAACATTATGCAGAGAGAGAAGTTGTTTTACAATAGTTCAGGTCGAACTATTGCAGTTTAAACCGACCGTTGTATAAAATATCTTTGAGGGAGCTTTTTACAAAAAGAACACACTTTTTGGCGTTTCTGAAACAAAAAAAATTCAGTCGGAAGCTCACAAGAAAAGGCGTTTTTATAATAAAGGTAAACATAGAAAATCATACATCAGTAGAATTAACAATCCAGATGTCAACAATTCTCAGTATATTTCCATCAGAGACGATCCTTTAATATAACAACGGAGTAGAAAACTTTTTTTGAAAGAGCAATACTTATGATTAAGTATACTGAAAGCCTTCAGAAAATTAAATTTTTTCAAAAAGTCCACTTGTAAAATCCGCTTTGATTTCAACATAATCAAAAGCTCTTTAGAAGTCTTTGTCTCTTCGAATAAAATACAGAAATTGAACCTCTTCGTGTAACGACGCTTTTATAGAATGTGAAAAGAGCAACGTTTTTCGCTCTCCGAATTCAAAATTTTCCCTCACACAATCTACTGGTACTATAACGACGCTGTAGCGATAACAAATCCATAAGAACAGCTAACGTTTAAAAAGCAGAAAATAAGATAAGAGGCTGTATGTCTCGTGAAAAATGTGCAAAAAACATTTTCTGTTATCTTTTTTCGTTTTAGTATTGAACAAAAGATAAATTCAGTTTTTTCTGAAGAGATCCTTTCAAACGTCATCTTTCGTCTAAGAGTCTCTTGATTCTTGGTTTCTATCGTCTAACCTTTAGCAAATCGAAAGCCCGCAGCATCGATGCAAATATCGGGACCACCAGGGATTAATTGTTGTAATGTTTTCAGTGTGTCGGTTTTCGAGAAATTAATCGTCTCAGCTCCTTGTGATCGCGCTTTTTCCAATCGTTCTTCGTAGCAATCAATAGCAACAATTTTTTTAGCTCCACGATAGCGAGACCACATGACAGACATCAATCCCACCGGTCCACAACCCCATACAGCCACTGTGGTTCCTTCTTGAACTCCGCCCAACACTGTTGCTTGCCAACCTGTAGAATAACGCGTATCGTGAGATTACCTGAAATGTAGCACTCACAGATACTTACCGGTACAGATAATATCGGATAAAAATAATACTTTTTCATCTTTTACATCACTTGTAATTTTCAACGTATTAACATCTGCGAATGGAACTCGAACGTATTCTGCTTGGCACCCGTCGTAGCCGCCTAATAAATGTGAATAGCCAAAGACCCCAGCAATATGATGACCATAATTTTTCTCCATTTCTTTGGAGGGATTCGTATAGTCACAGAGGGAAAATAATCCTTGAGTACAGTATTGACATTCACCGCCTAGTAAAACGATGAACCTTAGTTTTAACTAGAAGAGAGAATAAGTGTACGTATACATGAGATGATGGCCGAGACAACGACACGATCGCCAACTTTGACATTTTTCACTCCGGATCCAACCGATTCAATGATACCCATACATTCATGACCTAAAATTTGACCGACTGTAGAACATAATTCTCACAATGTCAGTATCACCTACCAAGAATATCATTTTTTTCCAGACCAGCAAATTCATTGTGATACAAGTGCAAATCACTGCCACAAACCGTCGTCGATGTCACATGGATAATAGCATCTTTGGGTTCGGTGATCAATGGGCGTGGACGTTTGTTTACTTTGATACTTTTGGCCCCATGCCTATAAATTTCTCATGAATAAATATCAATTTCTTGGCTTAACATGAAACTTACCATTCGAGAACGGTATTCATCACTGTTGGATCAGTTTTTGGATGAATCTGAGGCATCTGAATAGGTTTTGACGGTGGTTCGATGTGGACCGTAGCGAACGATGACAACGCATTCTGATGAGCCCAACGTTTGTCGATTGTTTTAGACAAATCTAATTCTACGCCGGGTGCAGATGAGGAACCTACGAAAGACCACAGTTGATTATTTCATTTAGTTGTTAGTCTCATTGGAAGATTACCTGAAATCAAAAATCTATTTCACTTTATTATTTTTTCCACAAGAAACGATGCTAAAATACAGCCTCCTCTCTCCACCCAGAAGAAAAGATACTAGTTTTTTATTGTAGCAGTCCTTACACCAACTGGCAGCCGCTTTCGTTCATTGGTCAAAGAACGTGATTCGTTACAAAGCTATAGTGCCTTGTACTGTTTGACATTTTTTCATCCTAATTCAAAACCTGCATATATAAAAACTATGTGTTTCTTACCGAGTAACGACATATTGAAAAGTAGTGGTTAATTTATATAGTTGATGTGTGTGTATGTACTTTAGAAAACGTGGTTTACTGTTGTCGATGAACAGAGTGAGGAGTTGTGCGTAAAACGTGCGTATTTATAATCAACTAGCATAATGTGCGCAGAACAGAAGAGAAAAAATATCTACAAAAAGAAGAGAATCTTTTCTTCGCTAGTCGACTTTCTTGTGGGTATTGTTGCAAGATTCTTGTTTCTTGGCATTTCAGACAAGTATCCTGTAAAATATTTTACTTGTATTTTTATTGCAAAAATCTTGCAGCAAATCGCTTTCTTGTGAGTTCATACAAGAATCGCGAGCAAGATTTTTGTCTCATTTTTTCCTGCAAGAATCTTGTCTTGTAATTCTTAAAAGAATCTCGCAAATAAATAGAATGCATGTATAATCCATTTTCGGTCTTCTTTTCGTACATATAGGAGCTGGATGTTCTGATGCACATGTAAAGACTCGATTATCTCTCAACAAGAATCTTATGAGATTTAAAAGACTTTTTTAAAGACATCTATATGTATAGTATCAATCTAGTATGTAACTTGTACTGTGTATTTGTCTTTTTTGATCTTCACCCGACACCAGTGAGGTAAGGGTATAATTAACTAACTAACTTATATATAGCAGAAGAATCGACAAAACAATTTGATGATTTTGTCGTCAACAAATCTTGTCACTTCAGACAAGAATCTTTAACCACAACAGATGAAAAATCAGTAAAGAATTAAAAGAAGAATCATGTCTGATCTATCAAGACAAAATTGTCTGAAATGCCAAGATACAAGAATCTTGCAAGAATACTCACAAGAACGTCGACCAGTATTGACACGTTCTTTCGTTTCTTTGGTATTTTCATCAACTGATTCACTTCTAGGATGACAGATGTGCTTATATGATCACGTTTAGCCCGTGGTTAGAAAGAAAGGTCACAGCACAATAATCTCGAAATAAAAGTATTCATAATACTACATATATAAAACAGCTGTGTGTGTATGCTAAGAATATGTAAACGTGGTTACTATAAAATAAACACAACGAGTGTGTGTAAAGTTCAACAATCATCATGCCTTCCGTTACTTTTTACTTCAACCATTTCTTTCATAAGTTTTCGAAGTTCACCAACAGCACTTAAGGAAGATTACGCCCCAGTACCAAGCATTCGTATAACATGACAGAAAAGTTTTTTTTTTCAAACCGATTTCATTCGATTTCTCACTCTAAAACTAAGGTGATGAAAAATATTTTTGATGTTGGTAACTTTTCGTTGTCGAGAAGTCGACCTTTTTGCAAAGATAACTCCAAATAGTTAAGAAAAACGACCTCGTTCTGTATTTTAGTTATATCTTCAAAAACCTTTTATCTGTTCTTTTTAGACTACATTTTATTCGATAGAGCGTAAAAAGTGGAGTAAAATCTATTATTTTGTTATTCTCAAAACGTTGAAGTTGATGTAGAAAAATTTGAAATTTTTAAAATTAGGACTTTTTGAAACCACTTTTTTCCACTTAACAAAGCATAGGTGCAAATTCAAACGATGTGTATGTGTAATCCTTGAAATTCTGCATTTTATAAGTAGATACATTTTAGTTGAAACAGAGCAGGACCTTGTCAGAAATGTTTCGCAAAACTTTGAGGAATCGATATCAATACGAGGTTAGATAAATTTTTTATAATTAAAGAAGTTTCTGATTAAACAAAGTCATCTCGACCATTATTAATAATTGACATCATAGAACAATATCAATCGTTAGGAGAAAATATTTTATTATGTTTCGCTCAGGGGGGAAAAGGCGACTTTTTTCTTTCTTAGCATCGGCGTGCAGCGCTCAGCATCGGATGCTGAGCATCTCAAGCTTCGGGAAGCATTCCAAAGGCTCTGGAAAACTCCCGGAGCCGCCTTTTGGGACAAATACACTTATTACACCCCCCTCATATATCGACTATTTCAGTTTAAATAGCCTCTGCGGAGTTCACTGAGTGCATT